CATTTCTTCAGTATCCACATTTAAGTAATCTGGTGGCCTCTCCCTTACTGTTTTTAGCTTTTCTTATTCATGGAGGCTACTGGGGTCTCACCTCCCACTACTGAAATGCAGCCCACCTCAGGGTGAGCTCTGAAGAGGAGCGCTGGTTTCAGGGGGAAGAGAGGGCAGAGGCTGGGGGATGTAGCTGGTCGTAGAGTGTTTATGTAACACACCTAGGCCCAACTCTGGGCACTGCCAAAAAAAAAAAAAAAAAAAAAAAAAAAGAGGGAAGGTTCTTTTATTTAAAACTTTTTTTAAAAAATTAAAAACAATGTTGCCAGGTATATCTAAACCCAGGACTCAGAAAGCTAGCCTGAGCTACATAGCAGATCCTGCCTTTAAAAATAAATAATAAAAGCCAGGAATGTTGACCTACACCTTTAATCCCAGTACTCAGGAGGTAGAGGCAGAGGCAGGTGGATCTCAGTGAGATTGAGGCCAGCCTGGTTAACATAGCAAGTTCCAGGTCAGCTGTGGCTACAGGGAGACTCTGTCTCAAAAACAAAACAAAATAAATTGTAGATAATAGGGGTTGAAGTGATGGTTCAGCACTTAAGTGCACTGACTACTCTTGCAGAGGACCTGGATTCATTTCCCAGCACCCACATGGTGCTTCATGACCATCTGTAACTCCAGTTCCAGAGGATCCATTACCACCTTCTGATCTCTGTGGGCAGTGCACACATAAGATGCACTTACATACATGTAGGCAAGGCATTTGTACACATAAAAATAATAAAATTTAAATTTCAATTTTCTTTTTTTTTTTTTTTTTTTTTTGAAGCAGGGTCTCCCTGTAGCCCCAGCTGTCCTGGAACTCACTATGTAGACCAGGCTGGCCTTGAACTCACAGAGATCCACCTGCCCCTGCCTCCCAAGTGCTGGGACTACAGGTGTACACCACCACGCCCGGCTAAATTTAAAATTTTAATATCACTACTATCATTATACAAGTTTGCAAGGACAGCCAGGGAAGATTAATCATCCTCTCTCTAGTAGAAGCCATTTTCAGTTGTATATTTCTTTTTAATTCTCCTTTTAAAAAAAACTTCATAAAAGTGTCCCATACATTTTTCTATTTTGCTACTAGGCATCTTAACTGTCATTTTAAATGATAGCACCACCATCAGGTAAAGCCCTGGGGTTTGTGTGCCTGTTCCTTCTTAGCGGCTCAGCCAGCCAATTGTGACAGTGAAGACCACAGCGCACCTTTATGCAGAGAAGGGAGCTTGAGGCATGGTGTACAGCTCACTGGGTCCTTCCACTTCATACACTATGTAAGGGAATTCCTGCTCCAGGCTTCAAGTCTGTGTCCTCTGGTAGGCAGAAGAGAACTCGCCACATCCTATGTCCTGCACTGTGTAGAGCATGTTCTCTCAAGCATTCCTAGTCAGGGTTTATTGCTTGCCATTACACACGCATTGGAGGAAGTGGAAAGAGGAAGGAAGAAATTTTAACAAAAGCCTGGGGCCCCAGAATTGTAGAGCCTGTGCTCTTCCTCCAGGACCTAGTCTTTGCTTCCATTTAGATTAAGCAAGAGGTCTCCATCCTTGGAATCCATCTTGAAGTTGAGGATAGGAAAAAGCATTTTCTTATCTTAAGGATGTGGTAGTAAGTGTTCCCACTCTTCCTCATCACACCCCAATGCCCACAGTCACAGTTCTGGGTCTCTTTTCTCTCTCTCTCTCTCTCTCTCTCTCTCTTTTTCTCCACAGCCTTATGACAGTCTGCCTACCTCACAGACCTGCTTCTTCCAGCTGCGGCTACCCCCCTACTCCAATCAACTGGTCATGGCTGAGCGCCTACGCTATGCCATCAACAACTGCCGTTCGATCGACATGGACAACTACATGCTTTCAAGAAACGTAGACAACACCGAGGGCTCCGACACTGACTACTGACCACCTCGGGTGCTGCCCCCCTCCCCAATAATGCTTACTTCCAATTTGATAATTTGATGTTGATAAACTTTTATGGTAACTACATAGGTGTTTTAGGAATATAAGCTGAAAAACAGTGGCCACATTTAGTTACTCCAGATGAAGCAAGGAAATTAGATGTTTTTATTTTTTTGTGATTGTACAAAAACAAAATGCTCTCAGTCAGATTTTTCCTTTCATATTTTTAGTCACTTTTGATAAGTTTGCATGGAACCATTTTGGTGCGTTTTTAGTTGGGAATGATACATTTTTGTAAACCCACGCAGTGAACATTGAAATTGTACATTGTGTATAATTGTTCATTAGAAAGGACAGTTTACATGAATATTCATATATTTATTTCCTTTTAATTTGAATTGCCTGTGCAGGGTTCCTTATGCAGAGAAATAAAGCAGATTCAGGAATCAGAGCTGGAACTGCTGTTGCTTCCAGGGGAGCTTCAGGCTGGGAGTTGCCATCAAGGCAGACATGAGCAGACAGCTTTGCTGTTCGGCCAGTGTCTCTCTAACAGCTCTTTGGCCCATTCAGAAACCTTCTTTTACATTGAGAGCATGCCCAGAAATGGCACTACCAAGGACCATGTGTGAGAGGGGGCTTGGAGGCCTCTTTCCCTTTGTTCTTCTGACATCCTGAGTCTTTGTCACTTTGTTGCTTCATCCCAAGTGCATGCTTCAGCCACATGTCTAGCCTTCAGCACTGCCCCTCCTCCTGAAAGGCCTCAGTCCACCTGGTGTGGACAGCTGCACCATGTGGTAAAGATGGAGAAGACAAATGGGCAAGTGATGGCACTGAAGGATAGGGCCATCAGTCATGTGTGGGAGGTGCTACAGGAAGGACAGCTGTGTACCTGTAGTAACTTGGCATGTATAAATAGGTGGCTATAGATGAGTGAGTGACCATGTGAATTAACAGGAGGATTACTTCATGGCTTTTACATTTTTGGGTGGTCGACGGTGGGAAGTTGTGCTGGGGACTGAAAGAGAACTTTATTCAGCGCTTGAACCTAGCCCCTGAGGGTCCTCAGATATTGCTCATCTGTACAGAGTATCACCCTGAAAGTGTTCTGGGGATCTTGAGAACAGAACTATGAGACTATGAGAACAGCTATGAGACTCCAGCTGCCAGAACATGACCAGGAGGAGAGCAAGGTCTGTGGGCAGTTCTTCTCTTACACCCCCCCCACCAAGTCCATGTCACAGCTGTGGACAAGGGCATTGCTGACAATGCTGGTGAGGTGCCAGGCAGATACAGAGAAGGCAGCCATTTTTCAGTAGAAAGGCATCTGTTTTCAGAGAACATACGAGAAAAATAGGGTTTTGCCAGCAAAGATAATGTGGTGAATGAATCTGAGCATGCCTAATGATACTGAGAATCATGGCATCATTATTGGGAAAGGCTTCATGTGGAATTGGGTCTTAGAGGGATACCAGGGGCTTCTTGGTAAAGATGAGGAGCAGAAGTGAGGGGCTCTGGGCCAGGAGAGACTTGCTTTAAGATGGGCCTCTGAAGCCAGGCGTGGTGGTGCACGCCTTTAATCCCAGCACTTGGGAGGCAGAGGCAGGTGGATCTTTGTGAGTTTGAGGCTAGCCTGGTCTACATAGTGAGTTCCAGGAAAGCTGGAGCTACAGGGAGACCCTGTCTCAAAAACACCAAAAAAAAAAAAAAGAAGATGGGCCTCTGAAATATTGAGATCATGGTCCCTTAGGCTCCTCTGGGTTGCTTCCTAGTGACAAGCAGTGCTTCCCTCTTACTGGGCTGAGAGTGTATGGAGCTGAAGATACATCTGCAAGTTCTCAAGTTTAATTAAAAGCAATACCTCAACCCTCATGAGGCTTTGCCTTTGCCAGCCAGTTTGCTCTGACCTGAGGGGATAGGAATACCCTAGCAGGGCAGTGACTGAGTCTAATGGACTGGTCTGGCCCTGCAAGAAGAATCTGCACAGATGTGGTTTTCTAACATGCTATCTGTAGCTGCAAACCTGTTCTTTTCTTTCTCTTGGTTTTGAAGACTAGTGTTCCTGGTCTGAAGAGCTGAAATGCACCTGGGGCAGGGAGTTTGGTTTGCCTTGGTTACAGTCAGCCCCTGTAGAGACATGTAGTTTATGTGCTGACCTCAATCATTTAACAAATACTTTGAGATTTATGACCTTTAAAGCAATCTCAAGAATACTTTGACACACCCCTGCACCTTTAAAATTGAGCCTTCCCCAGGTTTCATTCCAGATGTGACTTTGTTCTCCTAGATTATGGCCTTTGCCAGACAAATCCCTATGTCTGATGAGCTCAGTATTTAGCAAAAAGCATATTTTAGAGTCTCTTGGGGTGTCAGATGGCCTCCTTTTACAGATCCAGGAAAAGCACTGGGTCACAGGTATACTGGCTTCTTATCAGCACCACCATAGCAGAACCCAGGAGGCTCGGTGAGTCACCTCCAAACTATTCAGCCTGTACAGAAACAGGCATGTGTCCCTGCAAAACAAGCCCCTGAGCACAGCTTCCCACTTCTTAAGGACTCCGGATCCTGTGACCTAAGCCCTCCTGGCCCTGGTCTCCGGTGTAATGTTGACAGGGTAATTTTGAGCCAGGAAGGTGATCTGCCTTGTGCAGAGGCTGTGCACTTATCTCAGCTTTGAAAAGCCTTGGTTCCAGGAGCTAGTGAAAGCATGTCTGACAATGATGTCGCCAACAGTTTCCAGGTGGTTCTGGTAGCCCCTGTCTACCTGGCTTACCCTGAAGGTGCCATGTGCTTATTGACTCAGGTATTTGCTGAGCTCTACCTGCTGATGGGAACACTATCCTCACTAGGAAACCTATGGGAGCTGAGGCAGCCCTCAGGTTCAGTCAGTCTAAAGGCTCTTTTCTCCACTATGTGATCCCGGATTATCCCCATGTATATATACCTAGTTTGATTCTTCCCAATGCCCAGGACATGGGGGTCCTGCCAAGACACTGAGCTTTTCTAGGCCTCCATTGATTTGAGGACACCTTTGCTTCCACTCTGCCTTCTGCAAACAGCAAATAGTAAGAGTTGTTGGTCCCATTTTTAATTACTAGTTTTCATTCATTATTAGAGTGTGTGTAATGTGTGAATGCAGGGGCATATGTCTAGCAGCACACAAATAGAGGTCCTGTTTTACAGATAAACAAACTCAGGTCAGAACTTATCAGAAGCTGGGTGGTAGAGCTAGGAGATCATTTAAGAACACCCCTCACCCCCCACTATATGTCTTTTCCCAACTAGGACCAAAGCCCTTGAGGTACAGCCTGGCTCAGCACACGCCCAATGCCCAGGAGGTGCTGTGAGGAATGAGCCGGGAATAACTAAGCATGCAGTGCCCCTGTTCTATGCAGCCCAAAAAAGACTTGGATTTATTTAGAGTAGGCAAGGCATGCCCACTGTTTGTGGGCAGTGACTGAAGGCAGAAGTGGCCCTTGGCTCACGGATTCAGAGTTACTCTGACTAGGGTGGGAAGCAGGTTTGAGCCCTGGAAACAGTATTAAATATGGACATTAGCACAGCTTTAATTCTGTTGTCACTATTGGCTCTCTAAGTGGGACTACCCTGGGTACTTAGCTCTCATGGGGAAGGGGCTTAGAGAGGTGCAGGTTACCCCATTCAGGCTCCATCTGCAAGAACCTCTGCTTTACAACCAGCCTGATCTTCACAAGAAGTCCACAAACCAGGTTCTCTAGCTTCCCACAATACCCAATTAAAGAAGTGGAGTCTGTGGAGAACTGGCCTGCTCTGGGTCTCAGGGCTAGCAAGATCCTGTCATTCCCAGGCTAAACCACCAGCTCAGAACAATAGGGACATGCTGGGAATTGGGTCAGTGGAGCTGGTGAGAGCAAAGGCCCAGAGTTTTAAGTGGCTATTTGAGGCACTGGTCAGAGGTTGCTTTCAGCATTGCTGACTGCAGTGGGAGAAAAATTATGTCCCCTCAAGGCCTTTCTTTCACAGTCAAACCGACAAAGGGTAAACAGCCTTATAGCATGCCTGCACTCCACTGCAGGTGGCTTTCCAGACAGAAGACTAGCCAGGCCTGTTTCTGAGTAGACACCGGGGTTGGAGTGGCCACCTGCCCACATGTGAAGAGTTGTTCAGGGCCACTTCATGCTGATTTTATCTATGCTTGGTGCCCTGCCTTCTACTGATGTGAGTTGACCTCCCTGAGAGCCCTTACCCAGTTAGGTGGAACATGTGACTAAAGTTGACTTAGGAAGTCCAGGCATGTGTTCTACGTCAGCACATTGCTTTGTATCAGGCAGTAATTGCTACTTTTAAAATAATGTATTTTCCCTTAGAGAACTGTGGGAGTATGGGTAATTTGGTCATTTAAGGATGGGGGTTAATTTTCTAAAATAGCCTGTGCATACAGCTTCAGCCTCAGGAAAGGCTTGGGGATTACCATCCTGTGGCTGCTCCAGAGGTGTGTAGTGCAATCAGAGCCCCGAGGGTCGCGTGCCCCCCTCCCCCATGAGCACGTGGACAGTGCTAGCGTCTGATGAGACCCTCCAAGTCTGTTCCGAGCATAGGCTCGTTTAATCTTGCACGCTTCTCTGCAGCGGGAGGTAGCAGACAGGATACCAAAGCAGGCGGCGTGTGGCTAGTGCAGCAGAGGCTTGCGAGACGATGCTCCAGTCCCTGGTGCCCACGGCGACTGGTCAGGGATCATGGCCGCACTGTGCTCTGCGCGCAGTGCCAGGCGCGGGCAGGCGGCACGCAGGCTGCGCAGGCCTGCGGCGCTCACGTTGCGGCAGAAGTCCACGTGGAGTGTCTGCAGGGCGCACCCGTGTGCTGCCACTGCTGCCAGGGTGCGGTTGGTGATCCGTGCACAGTTCTCTAGGTGCAGCGCACGCAAGCGAGGGCAGCTAAGCAACAGGCGTGCTAGGCAGTCGTCGGTGACGTGGCCACAGCCGGAGAGAGTGACAGAGGCCAGGTTGGGGCACCTGCGGGGAGAGGGGTTGACAACCTTGCATCTGGATGGAAGGGCTTCCTGGGGTAATGACTAGTGGGTCCAAGTTCTAGAACCCAGGTTTCAGCTGGGTTGGGTGGGACAGTTACTGCATCTCCTGGGTCAGCAGGCTAGGAAAGGCCAGGAACTGGAGGCAACCAGAGCCAGGCTCAGAAGTTGGTACAGTCTGGGACACCCAAGGGATCAGAAAGCTGGAAGCCCCTCTACTCTTCCACCCCTGATAGAAAGAAAAGGTCTTGACTTGGCTTATATGTAATGCAACCTTGACTTATTTCACTGGTTTCTCTCTGTGGTAGGTGAGTGGGACTGTCTACCATAGGGTTGTGAGGATTGAGGTCTGAGTGAGCAGAGCCTCCTATAGACAGACATAACCCACTTTCCTGGAAAGAAGCAGGACCACACTACTTCCAGTCCAAGAGGAGCCTCTCCTGGTCCTGGTCCTGTGCCCCAAAATCAAGGAGCTGAGTCTGGACTAGATTGCCAGGTCCCTTTCAACACCAGCCTCCCTTTAGCTCCTTGCCTGTACCATGCTGGACCAACTCACCTCCTTTTTGCCTGAAGATGGATGTGAGGGACTAAAATACAGTGGGCCCAGCCAGCATTTCTCACATCAACTCCATGTCTCCCTGAAGTTCATAGCCTTCACCCGTTTTGTAAATGAAGAAACTGGTTCAGAGTGCTCCAGTGACTTGCTGTATGACTCAGGACCAGAGAGATAGGATAACCTGCATAATGGTTATGAGGGCACATTTCAGCCCTGAAGATACTGCCTGATACCTCCCTCGTATTTTAGATTTTGAATAATTCTGAGGCAGGAGGAAATCAGAAAACAGGTGACTTCCCTCCTAGCCCAAAGCTGATAAGAAAGCTGATGAGAACTAGATTCCATGGGTTCTTACCTCTCTGCCTCCCCTGTACCAGGTGTTACTGTGCCACTTGATCCTCTTCCCCTGTAACTTTAGGTAATCAAACTTTACAGAGAAAGAAACGATGTTGAATATGTTGACTATTTAAACATTTGAGCTGGAATCTCAACAGCTGCACAGTAAGTAGAACTGCAGACTCCATGCCTTCTGCTCTTTGTGTAACACCAGGGACTTGTGCTTAGCCCATCCTATGGCCTGGAGAGGGCTCTGTCACACTTTACTGGCTTGGGGAATTAAGCCTACCTTTCTTAGAGCAAGAGCAGACCAACCTGAGTGTATTCCTCCCCCTCCACCCACCCCCTGCAGCCCAGATTTTGGGGTCTAAGGAAACCCATCAAACTGACTAGTCAGAGCCTAACCCAAATCCAGCTTACAAAAGAGTGGAAGGTGGTCACTGTGGTAAGGCCAGCCTACAGCAGCTTTTCATGAGCAGCCACCCCAGTTTGTTAGCCAGTCCGGGAGCTCTGTGTTGAAGAATAGATTTACGTGCTCTACCCTGGAAGGTATGACCAACCCATTTCATGGTTTAGCCTATGCAAGGAATGGGGTCAAAAGCTCAAATAGAGGATGTTTGGGGAATAGACATAAGTTAGTCACTTTAATCTCAATTTCAAATGTAATTGGCAGTGTATATTTTTATTTGCTAAAATTTGGCAGGCCTACCCTGAGTACATCACAGCATCTCTTAGAGCCTCCATTGTGCCCCTTTGAAAAGTGAAAGAAACACTCCTTGAATACTGTAGAAATGACTGTGCTCCCCAAGGAAACATTGGCTCTTGTTCTGCAGTCTTCCTGGGCTCAGCTCACTTGAGCACCCTGCTGTCCTCCATCAGCATTTCTCAGGCTTTGGGGAATACTTGGCCAGAATGAAGGGCTGGGCCAGTTGATACATGTGGGAGCCTTTTCTCAGTGCCTAACCTTGAAAACTAAGGTCCAGCTGGATCCACCCAGCCCTTAATGGCTATCAGGGAGGACCACGGCCCAAGGGGTAGCTTAGCCATAGTTCCTTTGCCACAGAAGCAGCAACAGGACCTGTGAGGCTGAAAATGGGGTGAGCTGTTTCCTTCAAGATTTGACCCACCCCCTGCGCACAGTACCAAGTCAAGATCTGGCTGTCTTTGGACCTAATCTGAGGCACCCCAAAGGATAAGCCATCTTGATCTTAGGCTTCCTTGTCCCTCCTAGAGCCTGGACCAGTAAGGCCTCTGCTCAGGGGCAAGGTGGCCTACCTCTCACACACCTGCAGGAGGAAGTCATTGACCAGGCTCTCATGCTGGCTGCAGATGCTCCTCTGGAAGGCACTCTTGAGCCAGTCCTCGATGCTGCACACCTGCACTCTGCTGGAATGCCAGCAGATGGACAAGCTGCGCAGTGCTGGGCCCAGCAGGAAGTTGTCCTTCTTGAGCTCGGTGAGGGAATGGAAGTGTAGCAGGGGCCAGAGAGCAGGGTCCTCAAACACATCTTGGAGCTGGGAGCAGGTCCTGGCAAGGCTCTTCCTACTGTCCTTGTCCAGAAAGGAGAAGAGGTGTAGCAGACACTCCCGGTTGAGCTGGGTTATGTGCATGGCGAGCCACACGAGTGCACCCAGGCTGGGTCTGACCTGTCTTCTGCTCCTCCTCCCCCCTAGCTGAAAGCTGGTGGACATATATGGTTGAGGAATGGTGTTTATTTTTGGCCAACAAGTGGTGCTGAAGCTCTGGGTGGACAGGCAGGGGGGCGGGGG